GCTTCAATCAACAAACTACAGACTGATGTCAGGTGTGCCTGGCTACACTGGTAAACTTCTCTGTACGTAAGCCTTGCTGCGTGCAGTGTCCCTGGCTCCAGCAGGCAGGCAGGCAGGCAGCACACTGGCAATGTCTCAGTTCTTGCTCGAGGCCATTGCCAGGGTGACTGCTCTGTCCCAATTACCCCTCTTACTCTTAGGTCACAGACTCTTTTCTCTAAACCTGATGAATATGAAAAGCAAAAAGCCTTTTGGCTTCTGTCACCAGGGAATTGGCCAAAGCTACCTTCAACCCATCTTCCACCAGATCAGACCAATTAGGGTTGCTGGTGGACAGCCATTTCGCAGCCTGGGAGCTGTCTCACTTTCTCTGGCTTTGTGGTGGTAGGTAAAAGAAAACCATATATGTGGTTTTCACATACATATATTAACATGTTGCAGCCCTCTTCTTTCAATAGAAAGCAGAAAATTATAAAGACTGCCTTGCAGGTTTAATCAGTTCACAAAATTTCAGGTCACTGCAAGGACACCACTCCCCCCAATTTCTTCTCTATTCAGTCTGATCAAAGTCATACAACAGTTATCCAGGCAGTTCTGCCAGGGTCAGTTGATATTCCCTTTAACCTCATTCTTGCTCTCCCGCTAATGCGGTAGTTCTCTTTTCCGCTTTAAGGAAGCACCATTGCCAGAAGCAGCTATCCTTGCCCTTCCCCGGCCGCAGCTGCCTGCGCTTGTGCTGTCTCCTTCCCTGTGTACATGCAAGTTTCCATGGTGAAACTTACCTTCGTTACAACTGTTGTGGCTACCAGAAACTGAGCCATTTATTTGATAGCAACTTGAATTATGGGGAAATTATGGCCTGAATCATCATAGTGGATCAATAAAATAAAACTAAAAGGATGGCAAAGCTTATCAGAAAACCTTCATAAAAGACTGCTGAGTAAATAGGTAGGTCAATCTGCAGATAAACAGACCCGCTTGCAAAATCTGAAGTTCAGTTTGGACAACTAACACGATAGCAGTGGTTACGCAAGTTAGCAAAAATAAAAAAAGCAGCTCATCTTTACTTCAGAATTATGACACAATACCTATAGCTATGTCAAAGCCTTTTTACAGAAATATACTTAATGCTGTGTATAAAAACACGCTCGGACAGGCAACTGACTTCAAATGCTAATCTGATCAAAGAGGGAACATAACACATTGAAAACAACGGCAAACAAACTATGTCAAAGACCCCATGAAATATATTAATTGGGTTTGTGGGTATTTCCCTATTCCACCCTGTACCTGGAGAACAGCATTAAGCCATTTACTTTGTAGCACAACGGATCGAAAAGCTGAAGTCCAACCTTCAGTAACTCCCCCCATAAGTAGGCTGCAGCACTGCACTTCACAGCATTTATTCAGGAATTTGAATCAACTGCACAACATAACCTCGAGAAAAGATACCCAGCTTGCAAAGCACACGTCCGATTTGACGTAGTTCAGGGACCCAACAGCCTGTCCCTGTGTGGCTGTACGTGCTGAAGGATGCTGTTCTTCAGGTGATAAAAATCCTCCGAAGAAAAGCACCTTGAAATTTTTGTTTCAAAGTGAGGTCTTCCCCCTTCCCTTTCCCAGTGCAGCAGAAGTAAAGTATCATGTCAACTTGTGCATGAATTCCATGAACGCCTCAATGGGCCAACATCTATTTTGAAAAGTCTTTTTTCTGTTAGTGTGGGTAACAAGTGCTAAGTTTCATTTCACTGTGCTTGCTTTGTTTTCTGGCTTTCCTTGTCAATTCTATTTACCTAATTTAGATACATGGGGATGTACCTGGGTCATACTTTAAAAACATCCCAAGTATAAACAACCATGCAACTTCCCTTTATTTGTTGCAGATCTGTGACAGGCTTTTAATCTGCTTGCTGCAATGAGATCTTTAAATTGCTGTCTACTTTCCAGGTATCCTTGTAATTCTGCCTGTGCTCTTACCTAAATGCACAGATTCCACACAATCAGTTTTTTTTGAAGAATTTCACTACGAACATTTGCACTGCAATTTTGTTTCTTTTTTGAAGTGTACTCCACCTAATAATCCAGCCCTAATCCATCAGAAAATAGGCTTTTCGGTGGTATCTAGAAGTGATTGGATAATTTTACTCCTCAAAAAAACCCCTAAAGCCTTCACAAGATCTACAAAGAAACCAGTATTAATGTTTTCAGCACCTGTTTTTAAGCTATGCTTGGCTTTAAATAATTTTCTATGTCTCTTGCATTCTGGACATTTCATAAAAATTCCACAAATAACTCTCTTCACATAACATTTTCATCCCATTAAACTGGAGGGTCATACAACACACGCAGTTTCACAGACCTTGCTAGGATGTGAGTATCCAGCATCAGTAAAGTTTACTGGCAGCTCAGCCCTAAGGCTTTTGTATAACTTTGTTTATTTACTTACAAAAGCACCTTCATCAACAGAAACCAAATGCTTATCCCTTTATTTTCAATTAATCATTTTGGGGCTGTTCTGCTGCATAAATAATATATTGCTGTCTTAGCTTACAGAAACTTACCACTAGTTTTGAAGAAAAAGTGCCTAGTACAGGCAACTCCTTGGACACCCTGTTCCAGGACCTGTGGCATAGGCATATCCAGCAGAGTGACCAACGAAAACAGAAAATGTGAAATGAAAAAAGAAAAGAGATTATGCTTCATCCAGCCTTGCCTGACCAATATACTGAAGACAATAAAGGTACTCTGTAATATAAAATGACTTCCTAATAGAAAATGGAAATATTGGAAGTAATGGAAAAATGGATGTATTAGCAAATACTAACATAAAATGACTTCTTCCTTTTCTTACCTTCAGTCTTCAGGTTTCAATAGTAAACTACAGATGTGTAGTTTCAAAGAAAACAACACAATGTCATGAAATCAAAGTGCTGCTAGGGCTGTCCTGCTGGCTCAGTCACTCAGAAAATATTTTCTATTTGCTGACAGCAAATAAGGCAGCTTTTAGAAGGAGTAATTTTCAAGATATTTCTATGTAAATGTTGTAATTTTTTCTTACATGTTCCATTTTCCATATGTAAAAATCCAGGCTTTTCTTTGGTTTTGTATTAAAGATCCCAAAAGGAAAAACATGTCAACCGACATTCCAGCTTCCTACAGCAGAAAAACTAGTTTTTTCCGGATGCTCAACTACACAAAGCTACAAACTAACTTTCTGTGGGGTGTGCTTGGAGAAGAGGTGCTGCATACCTAGTAAGTCCAAAATGATCACTGTACAGTTTGAATGCCCCAATGAAGGCTTCTTCAAGTGGAAGATGATGTGGATAACATCGTGCGTATGTCAGAGGATTTGCAGTGCTCCAGGAGATATATTTTCCGAACTCAAAGTTTTATGACAAGTTACACCATTGACTGTAACATACTGCGAGCGCAGCAGCACATTCACACTCTGAAGAGTTAGCGTAACCCCCTGCCACAGCAGTGTTTATAGTGAAACTACGTATGTGAATATTCATTTTTTAAATAGCACCTGGAAAATGCAAGTAAGAGTGCATCTTTTTAAATGTAATTATCTTTATATGTGGAAATACATTCTTGAGAAGGATGTATATAACACTAGTATTGTCAAAAGGAGAACTTTTGGTAATTAAAAAGGCACAGCAAGACAGCTTTGCACCCCACTGTAACAAGTTGTTGCCCACAATGACAAATACGTGTTCATTCACAGATGCTCTGACTAGCCTATTAGGAAAAAAAAAATTACCCTGTAATACTTCATCTATCATTCTTGATCCTCAAATTAGTATTTTCTACTATGTATCTGTAAGGGTAAAACACATCAGTGTTGTTTCAAACAGAAGTGAATTTTAAGCTCAGATTGCTTTTTGCAGCAGCTGATCTTTCTCCAGCATTGTGAATATAAACAATGCACTTGTAAAGAAACAAATAAATGGACGCTTGCATATAACAGCAGCAAAATTTCAAGGAAATTACTATTTTTAGAATGCTTTCTTAAAAAACGCTCTTAAATGTTATCAGAATGTTTTATTGAATACTTCTGGACTTATACATTGAAAATTGTGCTTACTTATACACCCACTCCAACTCTGCTAGAAGAGCTTCAAGCTTTAAGAAATCATTGTATTCGTCCATTCTCATCTGTAACAGTTCACTCATCTTGCTGTTCTATGACAGCCAAGGCTGGCAAGCAACTGGAAATAGCTGTACATTGTACTTTGTAAAAGTTCTTACTGTAATACAAAAATCTAATTACCCTGGTAATTATAAATATTAAACCATCTATTTTTCTTGCATTCTTTTAACCATATAAACTTTGTTCTCCAATCAGTCATTATAACTTCATTATAAGTGCATGTGTCGCTCAGAGGTATCTTGCATTATCTCGTTATCAAGTGCAACTCAGCATTCGTGAATATGGATCATTAAAATAATGTTAATTAATACTCCAAGTTAACACTTGAAACAATGTATTTTGTTGAATTTTCTAATATTGCCAATTTTGATATCAACTCAGAATGCTCTAATACAGCTAAGTACAACATGGAAGCAAAAGTATTAAAAATACGAACATAGCCTAGAGCATTCTGAAATGACTACTATCCTGCAAAGTTTAAGAAACCAGTTTCATTAGAGAATTTCTTTCATCTTTGAAAAGACTACGCGTGCTTTTCTTCTCTTCACAGTTGCTTGTTAAAAAAACAAATATAGCAGCGGTGATCCTTCTTTGAAGCAAGGCCTGCCTTTAGTTTACCATAAGCTGAAAGTCTGAGAAAAGAACTACATTTTTGGCTGCTACAACCTCTCTTTTTCTTTACAGCATACGGTATGTCAATTTACTCTATAGTTAGGAAGACTGCTCTTACTGATATCCGTCATAATTAGATGCCTTCAAATCTTACAGGCTGGGCCTGCCACTTAATATGATACCTCTCAGAGAGCTGCGGAAGCAGTTGTCCCAGTCTCACTTCGGAATGACAGTATGACAGTAGCTAGGCATGCTGCAATTCATTCTGGTTAACTGAAGTGGTTGGATGTTTGGGGGAAATTTAAAAAAAAAAAAAAAGAAAATCAGTTCTTCCTTCTTTAAACAGCTATCTTCAGTCTTGATGGATCTGTTCTAGGCCAACCTTTTGTGGCATCCAGTTCATTGTACTCTTCTATTAGGTCAGACAAAGATGATATGGCTTCAGAAAAACAGCTTTGCTCCATCCCATCTATATGCAGATAATGGTGAAGGTGAGCCTATGAGAATAAAACACTCAGTGTTATCCTTTTTCTTGGCACTTAATCCATTTGGCTCAGTAAGAATCATTTTGCCTGCACTGAAGAGGGGAGTGCAAGCACTGTAGAAAGGAGATTTAAAGACTTATATGATGACTTCCCTGGCTTAAATACTTGGGAACTTTAGTAACAATCCCCTATGGAATCAGAGTTGATATTACTCATTTCTTACACATCCATCTTTTCATATTCTGTCTTCTTGGGTACACCTGACCAAACTGTGTATTGGGTTTACATGGCAAGGTTTTGGTAGCACGGAGTGGGGGGAGAGCTGCAGGGGTGGCTTTTGTGAGAAGACACCAGGAGCTGCCCCCATGTCGGACAGAGCCAGTTCCAGCTGGCTCCAAGATGGACCTGCCGCTGGCCAAAGCTGAGCCCACCAGCGATGTTGGTAGTGCCTCTATGATAACATATTTAAGAAGGGGTAAAAAATGCTGTACAACAGCTGTGTGAGAGAGAAGTGAGAAAAATGTGAGAGAAACAGCCCTGCAGACACCAAGATCAGTGAAGAAGGAGGGGGAGGAGGGTGCTCTAGGCACTGGAGCAAAGATTCCCCTGCAGCTTGTGGAGAAGACCATAATGACACAGGTTGTCCTTCTGCAGCCCATTGATGAACACAGTAGAGCAGATATCCACACTGCAGCCTGTGGAGGACCCCACACTGCAACAGGTGGATGTGCTCTGAAGGAAGCTGTGGCACATGAAGAGCCCATGCAGGAAGAAGCTTCTGGTAGGAACTGCAGCCTGTGAAGAGGAGCCCATGCAGGAGCAGGTTTTCTGGCAGATCTGTGACCCCATGGGGGACCCATGCTGCTGGAGCAGTTCTTGAAGAACTGCAGCCTGTGGGAATGATCCACGTTAGAGCAGTTCACGAAGGACTGTACCCTGTGGGTGGGATCCCATGCTGGAGCAGGGGAACAGCATGAGAGGAAGGAACGGCAGAGATGAGTGTTATGGACTGATTGCAGGCCCCATTCCCCATCCCCCTGCGCTGCTTGGGGCGTGGAGGAGGTAGAAGAGTCAGGAATGAAACCGAGCCTGGGAAGAAGGGCGTGGGGTGGGGTGAAGGTGTTTCTAGTTTTGGTTTTATTTCTTGCTATCCTACTCTGCTATTAATTGGCAATAAATTAAATGAGTATTTCCCAAGTCAAGTCTATTTTGCCTGTGACAGAAATTGATAAGCGTGATCTCCCTGACCTTATCTTGACCCATGAGCTTTTCATCATACTTTCTCCCTGTCCTGTTGAGGAAGGGGAGTGAGAGAACAGCTTGGTGGGCATCTGGCAGCCAGCCAAGGTCAACCCACCAAAAACTGGTAGGCAGATCTGTCAGACACTGCCTCATTGCTGAAGAAAGTAAGTATATTGTAAGTATATACCTACCTGGTAGGTACAGGTTAATAAGGGGTTTACCCTTTTTAAGAAGCAGCTGTTAGAATGATTCCTTGATAGGTAACACAGATAAAAATCTTGGGCTGCTACTTTTAAGTAGTCCCTTCGTGATACTGAGGCTTGTTTCCCAATATTGCAAGTTGCTAATGATTAGTGGCTACGGATGTTATAATGATGATAGAATCATACCTTTTTCTTGTAGAGCTTCATAAATCTCTCTCTGAGTTCAATAAAAGTTGGTTTTACACAGGTGTTGTTTGCTAAAGCCAAAAGGGAATGGGAATGGCCCACAGGAGGTACTGAACACAAACCAGTTTTCCAGCCCTCTTGATTCCAGGAGACAAAGTGCAGGGAAGGCTTCAACCTGTGATACAAAAATTTACAGTTACCTAGGGAAAGTAAAGAACACAAAGCCTAAATTTCCTTAGCTAACAAACAGTCTGAAAAGGTTAACATTAAAGCTTTCAGGACTAAGCAAGACAGTTATAACTCGCATTTTGAGTAAGACATTTTAGATATCAGACTAAAACAGTGTGTCTGTTTTAAATTTAAACTGCAAACACCAATTTTGTTGTATTAATTTAATGCACCAGGGTTTGAAAAGTAAAGTTACAAGCACTTATTTCTATAAAGGACTGCAAGCACTCTGAGATTTAGCAGAGGGACAGATTAATACTGTGTAGGGATAATCAGTCTACCTATACTTTGAAAGTAAAATACTTATGATTATCAGAAATTTTCCCCACGTGCCCCTGTCTGCCTGTAAAATCCATCCTGTATGTGATGCTTGCCTGACTTTGTTATAACTATGTAAATCAACAGTGTAAAAGGTAGAAAACAGTGCTAACAATACAGAGTTGTTAAAATAAGGATCATTCCCTATCTACATGAGAGTAGCCATGAAAGGGAGGGGGCTCCTGTTCAGAAAAAACAAACTTCTACTACAAAACCTATTCCTTCAACATCCCTTACTGGCAGGAGACTTCTGGAAGGTCGGGCTTTGCTTTCTTTTGCATTTTTGAGAATGGGAAGAGCAGCAGAGAGACATCTAGTCAGCTCCCTGTATTTGGAAATCCAAGAACGCTGTGACTTATTCTAATCATTAAGTAAATTATTTTCTTCTCTTCTGAAATTAAGAAAACTGATTTGGTATTGAAATTCTTCAGATGAAAAGCGAGAGCGCTCTGGACAACCAACAACAGTTTCAATAACATATACCATGACTACTTGGTGTGGAATTACAAACCTTTCAATATTTCTGCGAAGATCTGAAACCTGCACATTTCCTCGAACGAGAAGTGCACAGGCAAGGTAGAGGCTATGCTTTGGATCTGCTTGAATTAGTTGATGATCTCTACTAAAAGCATCTGAAAACATCTGATCCAACCTAGGTGGAAAGAAAACAGAGTTAACTACCCTTATTAAAGCAGGCTACAAAAGTTCTTCAGAATGCCCACCAACGGGTTTAAAAGTTCATAAAATTCTGGAAATAAAGGTACATTCAACCTGGGACCATGAATGACAGGAAAAAGATTCAAACCTTTATATGTACCTTTGTTGGCATTAAGTTTTTAAAGAAGTTTTTTAAGAAGTTTTTAAAAGCAGACCAGATCCATTTTTCCCCTCTCTTCTCCCTCATGTTACAACCCATTGTTGAGTCTGAAGTCAGAGAATTGGACAGACTAAGAGACCCTTATTAAGGAAATTTTAGGTCAACAGTTACAAAGTATTAAAATATGTAAAAGGATTTAAATGAGGTTCTGGTTATATGAGCAGACAATCTCACTGCTTGTGAAGGATCTGACAAGGAATACCAAAGTGCTGCTGACCCTTACAGAACTGATTATGTGTCTGTTACATTTTACTATTTAAAAAGATCAATGAATCATGTAACTGTATTAATTTTGAATAATCATTTAGGAAAAAGACAGACTATACTTATTAGAATTTTATCATGTATGACTGCTTTAAAAGATGACACAGCAGGTCATATTCTTCCTCTCTTCACCTCCTTAAGCAAGTTCCTTAAGTACTGTGTGATATCAAAGATGGTGTCTTGAGGAAGTCTCTATGGACCCATAACATCTAAGCTATTCTTTCCATTTGTTCCAAACTCTCCGCATCTATCATCTCTGTTTCTTTTTTTAAAATCCCCTCTGCCACAATCTGCCTATCAAAAAACCCAAATAAATAAAGGAGACAAAAATACTACCATTCCCAACTCATTCTGAAACATGATTGAGTAAGCATCTCCCCATAGTCTGCTACCTTCCCTCCAGCACTGTATTGTCTCCTCAGGGTATGGTTTCAAGAGATCCAACTGATTGTCACAACTTGCTATCACAGAACAGGGATGGTCCTACCCTCTTATCCATTTTGCATACTTCCATCACTTACCCTTAGCTGCCTCTATCGCTATTTGGACCTTTGGCTGACTGAATTTAACTCACTAAAACTCACTAGTGAAATCTATTCTAACTGGTTATTTTTCTGCCATGTCAATGGGATAAATCATCTCACAAAATTTGACAAGCATCAGCTTACTGTTACAATAAGCTGTTAAACAGGCTCACTGCATCTCAAGTAAGGTGCCATTACTTCCCAAGCAGTCTAGTTTAACTCCTTGTTTATCTTTACAGTATTTTGTGAGTCAACTGCAAACTGTTACTCAAAAGAACTTGTGGCGTGGGCTCTAAGTAATACATTTTTTCAACAGAAACATTTCCCAGCAGAGATAACAAAAATACATTTCAAGTTTACTGGCTCAACCATTACAGAGAAAAGGGAGCAAAGGATGTTCTCAAAATCAGCAGGACAAATTTGAAAACGTGGCAGACTTAAAACTTTTAGAACTTCTACCCTTAGTTTTGCTATAGAATGGAATTTTTAAAATGAAAACTATGGAAGAATCAGAAATGAAGCTTCAAATGTAGATTTTCCATAATAATTTTTTCTTACCTTCTAGAAGGTACATTAACATCAGCCAATGTATACAGAGGAGTCAAGCTTGAAACCAAGTAGTGAAGTCGAGGAAATGGAACCAAATTCATGCTGATTTCATTAAGATCCATGTTAAGGGAACCTTCAAACCTAGCAGAGCTGAAAAATTAACAAACTCTTATACAACTGTTATAAACTAAGCAAATTACTTTTATAAGGTAAACATTCATTAAATCTATTTTTCAGTTGTTCCCTACAATAAAACAGTAAAGCAACACAGCGTTTAAGAAGCTGTTCATGTATAATTACTAAGCTTTCACATTTGGCAGTAACAGTGCCGTATCTTATTTCCCTAAAAACACTTCTCATTATAGAACAATTAATTATCAAGAATGAGACCTTAAGTTTCCCAGTTGTAGTCTTTAGCAGTGTTTTTCAGTATGTGGACATAGCTGCTGAATACCAGTTTTAATAAATAGGCTATAATAAAACACGCATGACTTAGCATTCCTGACAAGCTGTTTAAAAGAAAAGCAGGCCAATACTCCAGAGTATTGGAGTACACCAAGAGTTTCTTACAGCAATAGACAGTTTAGCAGCAACAATGGTCTGATGGTATTTATAAAATAATACAATTGGCCTAGAAAGGCAAACCTCCCTGGGCTCCATTAAGCAGTAATGGAAGACAATATCCTTCTGCCTATAAACCTTTTCTTACTTCAGTTCTAAGACTATCATGGCTAGAGCAACACCACTGGAATCTGAATACTCCCAAATACTTTAACATTTAGTAACTAATTCTTAAAAATGAGGAAACTCATATCAAATAGAAAACAATTAATATTCTTTGAGTTGATGCAGGCCTGCATATTTGCAGCACACACTGCCTCTAGCAATACTACTTTTACACAGGAACAACCTGTAACTTTACCTTGTCAGG